AAGTTTGAAAGAACAAAATCTTGAGTTTTGTAAGATTGCCGAGTTGTGGTCCGATTAGTCTCAGATCGCGGCGGCCGGAGGCCGACGAGCGTTTTTCCGGCGAGTAATCGGTCTTAGGCGCCGTGTTTTCGAACAGAGATTATCACTAAGTTCATGTGGCATTTTGCCAATGATTTTATATGGTAAGCAAAGTTTCCCTTCATTTCTTGAAATTACTCAAAAACATGTATATTTGCATTGAACATTTTTTAAGAGTTTAGAAAATTAATCTACAACTCTTTTAAATTTAAATGAAATAAAAGGAAATTTAGAAGAAAAAAATGTATTTCGCTCATGAAAATTTACATTTTTCATCCTACTACTTTCATAGTTTCCTCAAGTCGATTTGCAAATCCAACTTATATGTTTTGAATTTTTCCAAAACCATACTTTTGTTTTTTTAGCAAATATACATATCATTACAAGATATTATTTTTTGGATTCAAATGACCATTTTTTGGTTATTTTTATCCATATTGACTTTAGAAACTACCATACACATGTCAGTTTCAGTCATATGATCTGGAAATTCTCATCATTTTTTTTTCCTTTCCATCATGATCAATCTTTATACGACTCGCGTTAAAGCATTGATGAAATAAATATTTTGATTAAATATCAACAATATTTTATTTCTAATGGAAAATGATTCTTATGTGGCAGACCTCTCCCAAATTTAATTTGGGACGTCGACTCACAAATCCATTTTCATCCATATTATTTGTTTTAAGGATCTAATTTTTTTTTTTTTCATACCCATGATATCAACATACTTGAAACTTGAGTTCCTTTTTTCTTTTCTCATGGCCTAAATTAAGTTATCTGAAAAATCTGAAACAAAAAATCAAAAACGTTAAGCCATTCTTGATAATTAAAGCAAATATTTATCTTTAACCAAGTGAAAGCATTAAACACATAACGAAAAAAAAAAACGTTTTATTCTAATATCTTTTATGAGTTAGAATATTTTTAATACAAAACTAATGCAATCTGGTAAATAAACGTTGACAAGATTTGACCAACTAAATGCAAAACAAATACACCAAGTAAATGTATTAAATGATTAAATATGCCACAAAAACAAACGCTTGATCTTGCTAAAATAAGCATACTAATTAGTTAACAGAGAAAACATATAATCAAATCAACTCAAGATACTTTACCAAGACCAAACCTAATTCTCGTTAACGAGAGGTAAGAAAGTTAAACCAGAAGTTCTAACCAGTAAAGCAATCTGAAATAACACAAAAAATGTGAGCAAATATAAGCAATCTGAAATAAATCCAAGATTCTTTCTGGACGATGGCTGGGATATGTTCCAGTTTGATAGAAAGATGAAACATGTTCTTATGAAGCCAGAAAAAATATCAAATTCATTAGTCCCAAAGTATTAATTATTTTAATGAATTTAACCACACAAAATCTCAAATAATCTGAAACTTGTTTCGGAAAATCAGAAGAATTAGTTTTTCATCACCCTTAATTCTTTCACTCTGATCCAAATCGATTTTGGCACCGATTTGAAAATATTAATGAACCTGTTCTTAAAAAAAAAAACTTTTACAATAATCAGTCTTGTTAGTGCAAAGCAATAAATGGAATATTTTGGGTCAAAACTGATAGAACCGTAATATATAAACTACGGAAAACTAAAATTGTAAAAAATAAAATGATAAGATTATACCAAAATTTAAGAAAAATGATGATCCAATAGCAGAGTCGAGATATAAACTGAATATTGTAAAAAATAAAATGATAAGATTATACCAAAAATTAAGAAAAATGATGATACAATAGCGACGATTCTATAACGTAATGGATCCCAGGATACAACTGCAAAAAATCTTTTGGTCTACATTACTTTATCAAAAGCCTAACGGAACTAATTTTGTGATGTACTCTCATACTCAAAAGAAAAATAAATATAATATTCACAATGGGAGATATGTTGATTTTTTTGTTTTGTTCTTTCAACTTTTCTATTAAGCAAAGAGCTTTTATATAGAAATCAAGAATGAGAACCAGCAATATTACGTTATGTACAAATCATAAAGTGGTGTTATAGAGCATTGTCACATCAATTATCATAATGAAAAACCAAAATTTCATTGACCATTAACCTTAACATAGTAGCAAAATTATTAATACCATTAACCAAATCAAAGTTAATTTATTTTGTTATGGGTATACATTTTTATATTTAACCAAATATAAAAGAAAACCATGAATATGATTTAAATCATATGTTATTAGACATAAGTCTTTTTTAACAAATTTAAATCCAAATTCAAACTCAAATATCTATTGTGTACATTTAAGTCACACATTTTAGAACTTCATTTCTCATTCAAACAAACTCTATTTTTGACATATGAATACATTTTTCATAATGTTCAAAACATAGTTCCATCAAGAAACCAAAAATAGAGTTCAAGCAGGGAAGGAGGTGTAGATGTCACAGTAGGCCGAGACAAACACAGCAACCTATCTCTGATAACACGATCCACAGCACGGAAGAACGCTTCTTGAGTCAAAGAAACACCCATGAAGATACGGCCATTCCACTCCCGCCAGATGCTGTAAAGATAACTTGATTCAGGAGCTTCAGCACTGCCACTTCTCGAGAAGCATGAAGGCCTTGGAGCTGCTGGCACAGATCCACAACTGCTGCTAACGAAGTGGGAGGAGACGCCATGAACCTGCCACAGAAACAAGACCAAGTAGCAGCCGCTAAAGAGAAATCAAAGAAAAGATGGCTAATAGATTCATCAGCTAAAGAGCAAAGAACACAACCTGATGGGATGGACATCCCCTAGGAAATTAAACGATCTCGAGTTGGTAGCCTTCCAAGGAAAGCAGTCCAAGATATAAAGGAGCATCGAGGAATTTCCTCTTTGAACCAGACCACCGAATGCCACAGAACTAAAATACTAGGAATTTTGATCCTCTCCCAAGTGACCCAAGAGGAAAAGTCCGGACCAATCCACCAGAATGATTTCTCCACAAGTAAATGCATTACCATTTTCTGCAGAGGGAACTGACATTGTTGAGCAGATAATCTGAAGAGTCTCTGCTAACTCTGATCTGGCTGGTGGGAGATTCGAGTTACCATTGCGCACGGCTTGAGAGACAGTTGCATTAAGAGGGATCCTTAGTGACCGGAGGCCAGTCGAGCCAAAAAGGATATTAAGAGGACCCAAGTCAGTCCAATAATCAAACCAGAACAAGGTTGTATTATCATTCCGAACGCTGCAGCGGAGGAAGAGCTGAAACCATTCAGCTGAAGCATGCTTCTAACAGTCCGTGAGAACCGAGGCGAGTCATTTGTAAGCCAAAAACCTATGCCACCAAAACGATTATTAGTTAACCATGGAACCCAAAGAGACCCAGAGCCATAGAAGAAGAACCATAATCTCTTCAATCTGAAAACCATCTCAAAGTCCTCAAGATTTCTCAAACCAAGACCACCCTCAGTTTTTGGTCTACAAATATTAAGCCAAGAAACCCTTGCCCCTGCAGCCGAACTAGCGTTATTTTTCCAAAGAAAACCCGAGCAAAGAGAATCCACTTTGGAATATAACCATTGAGGTAGCACAAACACCTAACTCCAAAAGTTTACCATGCCATAGATTACTGAATAAATCATTGTAACTTTTCCAGCAAAAGATAAGAATTTGACCGTTCAGGAATGAAGTTTCGATGTTATCTGATCAATAAATGGCTGAAGAGTGGCAGCTGAAATCTGTTTTGGACTCAAACAGTGGCGGATCTAGAAAGGTTCAAATTTTACAGATGAGGAATAATTAATCCTAGGTTTGAGATTTTAAGGAGGGGCAAATTTATCCAATTTCTCCAAAAATCTATTATAAAATAGTAAAGAAAAACTTTATAAAAAAATCCATAGGGGGCAAATGCCCCACCCTTGCTGGCTGTACGTCCGCCACTGGACTCAAATGCAACCCAAGATACCTCGTAGAAAACTCCCCACGACGAAAACCTGATAAATCACTCAGAATCGAGGCTTGAATGTCTGAGTATCCACCATAGAAGATCTCTGATTTGGATTCATTAGTGTCCAGACCAGACCACTCCTTAAAATGGTTCATAACACACTTAATCCTCTCAGTAGAAGTACGAGATCCATCAGAGAAAACTAATAAGTCATCCGGAAACAAAAGATGAGTGAGCTTAGGGGAAGAGCATAGCGGATGCAACCTATACGATCCATCAGATTCAGCCTTGTCCAGCAAACGAGACAGCACCTCCATAAGCATAATGAAGAGGTAGGGAGAGATAGAGTCACTTTACCGAAGATCTTTTTTACCCTCGAAGAAACACGCAAATTCACCATTGATAGCAACAGAAAATCTAGAAGAGGAAATGAATTCAGTGATCCAAGTGATGAACATAGGAGGGAAAAAAAATTATACTATCTTGGAATTTTGTCTTCCTTTCCACAAATATGGTGCAACTCAAATTTAGAAACTTTGTTTTCTTTTCCACAAAATTTTAACTTAATTGATTTGATAAACTTTGTTGACTTGCAATTTTTTTTTTGTTTGGGACAATATCAAAGAATCATATTTTCGCTACATTTAATCAGAATCCATTATTATCAAACACATTATATTTAAAAAATTTCCTAGAAATTTATTGGTTTTAGAGAAAAAAAGCAATAAACAGTAAAACAAAAGGTGGAATCTAAATTAAGAAAAGAACAATAATAAAGGATTTACTTTTCTCCTACAAAGAAAACAAAAGAGTGCAAAGAAAGAAAGAAAAAGAAAGCCTTATTTACCATTTACCACTTTTATTTTTATTTTATTTCTTCTTCTCCTTTTTTCCTTTTTTCACTTTCCATTTCTTTATCATTTGCTTTTCTTCTCCTTTTCTTAACCTAAGTTCCTCTAGCTCCACACAAACAAGTTCTCTCTCCTGTCTCTCACACACACTCAAGTGTCATTTTCTCACATATACTTCACACAAAAGAAACAACCGTTCACTACATACTACCTTGTCATTGATTTTCTCTCTCTATATCTCAAAAATCTTTGCAAAATCAACTTAGCCTCAAAACAATAGAAACGACATTCTCAACAAAGTCCAGAAATTTCCTCCTCATATCCTTAATAACCTTTTCTTTTTTCCTCTCTACCAACAATAAAAGGGATATATGGTTCTTTCCTTCTTTAACCTGATTCAAAAAATCAAGAACTAGGGTTCATATCTCTAGGAACCGACTGATAAATCTCTTGAAGAAGAAGAAGAAGAACAGGAGGCAGAATAAGAAGTGAAAGCTCTCTTCCATGGAGCTTTTTCCTGCTCAACCCGATTTATCCTTACAAATTAGTCCTCCAAATAGTAAACCATCATCGACGTGGCAGAGAAGAAGATCAACAACAGATCAAGAAGTTCATGAGGAACTCGATTTAGGGTTTTGGAGAAGAGCTCTTGATTCAAGAAGATCCTCTAATTCCAGCTCAAAAACAACCAATAACCATCATCATCCACTCGGAGACCTCTCGCTCTCTAACAACTCTCATCAACATCAACAACATCAGCATCCACACCTTCTCCCTAATTGCAACGTCTCTAACATCTTGACCCCTTTCCAGTTCCAGACACAACAACAACAGCAACAAGGGTTTCTTGCTCATGACCTCAACACTCATTTACGACCAATACGAGGAGTCCCTGTATACCAAAACCCTCCTTTACATCATCATCACCGACCGCCGCCGCCGTATTTCCCTTTTGATCCGTCGTCTCTAATTCCCTCTTCTTCACTGAATCCCACGGCAATCAACAATAGCAACAATAGCTTTGGTACTAGTGGCGTTAGTAACTCCGGTTTAATTACAAACCCTAATTATCAACACCGTCATCAGACTCTGAACAGAGCGAGATTCATGCCGAGATTTCCTGCCAAACGAAGCATGAGAGCTCCACGGATGCGATGGACAACTACTCTCCATGCCCGTTTCGTTCACGCCGTTGAATTGCTTGGTGGCCATGAAAGTATGTTCCTTTATCTCTTCTCTCATTTCTTATTTACTTTCTATTTTATCGGTTAATGGGTTCTTAATAATTTACATGAATCAATTGTTTATTAGGAGCAACACCAAAATCAGTTCTTGAACTTATGGATGTCAAAGATCTCACCTTGGCTCATGTTAAGTCCCATTTACAAGTAAAATTTCTTCCATAAGAAATTAGTTTCTCTGATGATCTTAAATTTCTTTTTTTTTAATGTATATTTATATTCATATAAGTATACTAATTAGTGTGGGAGTAAAATAAATTATAGGTATATAGTAACTAGTTAATAATAAACTTTTCGGGTATCGATGTATTTGACTCGGTGACTTTCTTAAATCGGAGTTTCACTCGAGTCAGAACAAATCGAATCTTGTTCGCTTCTGATCCTTCCTTTTTTATTCCTATCTTTAATTAAATCCTATTTTGCTCACCAATAATGCAACGGTTGGATGGGTTTAAGACAAAAGAAAAATGGCAATAAACATTCCATAGATCTGATGGTCTTTATAGACTAGGACAATACTGTTTTTTTTTTTTTGCAAGATTAAAAAATTTATTTAGTCTTGAAAGAATAAACCTGTCTTGTTACAAGTAAACCAAAAATTACTCATATTACAATTACTGACAGGCATAGAATAGAAAGTTGAAGAGAGAGAGAAATGTCCTTTACGTATGTAATTAGATAATAAAACTAATAAATATACGAAAAAAATCTCATCAAGAAAATCAAGAAAAATATTAGTACTTTGGTTTCTTATCATCCATTCTATGTAATGATATGGTTTTATATTTTGTATTTTAATTTTTTGAACTATCATATTTTGTTTTATAGCTTGAAACAAGTATTAGTTTGGTTATATATATATATGTCAGCCTACGAGTCGGAGCACAAAATCTTAAGAGTATTTAATTAGGGATAATTACCCAAATTAAATTCCTAGGAAATAAAATACTGGTTCTAATTAATAAAAAAAGAATTGACAAAAAAAAATTAATAAAAAAAGAAAAACAGAAAACTCAGAAAGTGAGAGAGTACAAGAAACACCATCATTTCTCAATGATGAAATGGTTTTGGTCTTACAGAGAGAGAGAGGGTATATTTAACTTGACCGTTGTCTAACCATGGTTAGACACATAAATTCATGCATGGGGACATGAAAATCGTAAACTTCATTAATTATGTCAATTAATGCTTCTGTGTCTGAGCAGTTCTAATATTTTTTTTTCTCTTTTCTTTACCTTCCATATGTATATGTTTTATATTTTGAAAATTTGTTGGTACTATTCGACTGTGTCGGAACACAACAGTACATTGGTTTCCATTATTTGGTCTCTTGTTCCATTGCCATATAATTTGATACATGCATCTATATATATACGGAGGTTCGGGCGAAATTTTATTTAGACTTTGCCTTTTGACTTGATCAAAGTTATAATGAACTAAACTAGATTTTGAAACGCCATTATCTTAGCAGATATATTATTTATTTTACTTTATGTTTAAAAAATTTATTTTCATATTTCTATTTTTGGTTTATAATGATATTTGGTGTTTTTCTGTGATTATAATTGGCTTTAAACTTTTTAGTTATATTAGTATGATGTTTTGATAATTTGATTGAATTTCTGGTTTTGGATAACTATATATGTGCTATAATCATTTCACACATTTATTTTTTAATTTATTCATAAACAGTTATTAATGAAACTTTAAAAAAAAAACAAAGTATAGCTACATTTTTATAGTTATGGCGAAAAATAAAAATTTTACATCTTCTTTAAAAATAGGACATTAGTGGTTATGGAACTGTTTTGTTATTTTGTTCATTTGTTATTTAAAGAGTTTTAGATTAAGTGACTTGATAAGTAGGATTTTAGTGGCCATGTAATGTAAAGTTATATAAGCTTTTATAATTATAAAGTAATATAAGCAGTTGTAATTATAATTTAGATGCCAATTTTTTTAAAAAATTGTACTGAACTAATATCGATAAGACATGTTCTTAATTTAATAGTATTGATTTTCAAAAAAAAAATTATAATGAACTACATACATGCGTTTTCTGTTTTTGATATTCTTTTATTAATATCAGATGTACAGAACAGTGAAGACAACCGATAAAGCAGCAGCTTCGTCAGGTTAGTGTAGAGAAATAATGATGGGATTTAGAGAATCAATAATTAGAATGTGATTAGGATAGAAAACCTAATTGATATATTTTCTTTTTTGTAACTGCCCTAATTTATATTTTGCTAATGTGTTTCAGGACAATCTGATGTCTACGAAAATGGATCTTCAGGGGATAATGACTCAGATGATTGGATATTCGATATGAATAGAAAATCTAGAGATAGCGATGAATTGACGAATCCTCTAGAGAAATCAACCGGTCTGTGGACCAATTCATCAGGGTACGTACATATATATACGGTTTATCTATACATACCTAGATGTATATTGATCCCATTGTTCATATATAATATGTGGATTCTCGCTTAGACGTGGGCATGCCATTATATAATATATTTTATCTATATAACAATATAATAAAGAATATAAGACTTGAAATACTATAATATATATAGCGTTGAAGTTCAGGTTATATTTTTTTTACAAAAAAAAAGAAGTTCGGGTTATGTTTTTGCTTTGTATTTCTGGTTTGTCGCTTTCTTAGCCAAAAATGAATCAGTCGAGACAAAACGCATGACGTGTTAATCATTATATGCTGTTCTCAGTAGTCTGTATATACGATATTCTGCGTATGGCAATATATATGATTTTAATCAGTAGTCTTTTTGGTGGACTTCGTGGGACTACTTAACAAAATGATACTATTAGTTTAATTATAAAATATGGAGAACGTGTAAAAAAATAATCATAGCCAAAAACTAAAATATGTATGTATATATAATAATCTTATTATATAAAGAAGGGTTTTCTTCCCTCTTATGATGCCATGTCACTAAATAGGATGAAGAGAAAATGACACATGGCATGTAAAATTATTATTACAAAAATAATGTTTAATATTAACCAAGGCTTATTTATGTGAATGCATTTATCAATTTTTTTTAAAAAGTATGAATCTTTTTATTTTGAGATAAAATATATTAAAAAAAAAAATCATAGTATCCATGAATTCAAAAAAAAAAAAAAAAGCTGAAAATAATCCATAATTTATATTCTTAGATATTTTATTTTATCAACATTGAAAAATGTTAGAATTTACTGATATAATAAAATAACAAATTATAAATAGGGAAAAATATTATTAATAAAATAACAATATAAATAGTGAAATTTAATGTTATTTTTATTTTCAATAAATTAACAAAAAAATCAGATACTCACTAAATTTGAATATATATATATATATATATATATATATATATATATTTATTTATGTGTGTATATGACTAGATTTTTAATAGTAGCACATTAGAAATTAATATGCATTAAATATACAAGGAGAAAAATAAGAATACAAACTAAATCAAAAGGAATAAACACCTCAAATAAATACAAAGATTCCCACATAAATTGGCTGAAAATAATCCATAATTTATATTCTTAGATATTTTATTTTATCAATATAGAAAAATGTTAGAAATTACTTATATAATAAAATAAAAAAATATAAATTGTGAAATTTAATGATATTCTTATTTAAATAAATTAAGAAAAATCAGATACTCATTAATTTTGAATATATGAATATATATATATATATATTTATTTATGTGTGTGTATCACCAGATTTTTAATAGTAGCACATTATGAATTAATATACATTAAATATACAGGAAAAAAAATCAGAATACAAACTAAATCAAAAGGAATAAACACATCACACAAATAAAAATATTCTCACATAAATTATATTGTATGTTGTTGTGAAAAATAATATTGTATACACACTAAACTTCTATCAATTACTGCGTAAAAAATAATCGGACACATAAAAATAACTATGTGCTTTTATGAAAAGCAAACAAAACAGAAAACATTATAATACTAAAAATAATATAATATTACAAAATATGTTTGACAGTAGATAAAAATAAAAATGTCCAAAATATAAACGGACATCAAATTTTGATAGAAATTGTGAAATGTTTAAGTAAACATGTCATTCATTTTACTATAGACAAAGTAAACACTAAATAACCAACAATTATCTTAAAACGAATACACACAAGATGAAGACAAAATAAATATGAATATCAGGCATATAACCTGACAAATGTCATTAGCTGAACTCCCTCCTGTCTCATAATCTTTCACCTCATAACACCACTTCCATTGCCGCTAAGATCTCACGGTTTTTTTTCTGGTGAAATACAATCAGAAAAAATAAAATGAAGAAAAGAAGAAAAAAAGAGAAAATATTGTTACGTTCACTATATATAGCACAACGATGAGTGTGCATTTATCTCCTTTAAAACAATAATAAAAAAAAAAGTAAATGGGAGTAAATATATTTCCACTTGATTGATAGTTTTTAAGAATAAGTTGAAGAAAAATTTGCACATAATACCCTAGGCCCAAGAATAGAACTTGCATAAATACACAGCTATATCATACTGATCCGTATAACAAGTCCCAAAAAAAATGAAGTGAACCCTAAATACAGCCACCGAAACTTTCAAACAATTTAATAACTTCTAAATCATTATAACTAATATTTTATTTTTAATGAAACAAAAAAAATTGACATTAATTTTTTTGTTAAAAAATAATCATTTAGTGAAAATATTTATATAATTAAAAAAATAAATTTATAATTATAATAAATAAATTAATATAATCATAATAAAATTAAACATTTAGTGAAAATATATAATATAATTAAACAAATAAATTTGTAATTATAATAAATAAAATTAATGAGAAAGAGGATAAATCAATTTTCGCTATCAATCTTTATACATTTCATTAGATTATACCAACGAAATTAAAAATACTGAATCTCACAGATTTTTTTGTTTCTTTTTATTACCAAATTTACGGTTAACCTAGAATACAAAATGATATAAAAATAATTAACAATTAATACATAACTAAAATAATTTAAAAGCCAAGAACTAATAAGATATAAAAATAAACTAATTAAAATTTAATTTTGCTATGTAATATAACTTGAGTTTAATGAAAATTTTTTTTCATGTGTTTATTAAAAATTTTAATAAAGATTTAATAGTTAAGTAAAAATTACAGAATACTTATATATATTCAAAATAAATAAAGAAGTCTATAAGTTTTGAAAGACGAAAAATCTATTATCATATTGTTTTCTTTTAAGTTTCATCAAACCTAAGAAAAAAAGATGCACACACTAAATTTTCTTTCGATTTTAGGTAAATAAGACCAAATTAGAATAATTATTAAAAAAAAAAATAGTAAACAATGAGTAGTAAATAATCAAAAAAAAATTTACAAAAAGTTGAAAATAAAATAATAACACACAACAAATAAAGAAAAAAAGTCGAAACGAGCCACAATACACAATAATTCTATGCAAAACACATACAAATAATCTATGACATAGAAAATTTTGATACTAAAATTCGAAAGACTAAAAACAATAAATAATTAAAAAATAATTATATAATTGTCTAACTATCTATATTTTATAATATATTATAATATTTATATATCAAAATAACATACAACATATATAATTAAAATTTCAACTAAAAACCCGGGCGTAGCCCGGGTCAGCCCTAGTTATAAATATAAATAGTGTAGTGCAATTATTTTGTTCAACAGTTAGTGATTTTAAATATTGAAAATAGATTTTTAATAACTATAACATAAATAAGTAAAATTATGAATAAAAATATTTCCAACCAAAAATATAAAGAGAATTCAATGTAAAATAATTAGTTAACGTATCATTAATTCAGTATTTAAATTAAAAATGATATGAAGATTTTTTAATTATTTATGATTAATTTTTAAAAATATTTATATAATCCTATCTGGATTAAGTTTTATAAAATTGTTTAAATAATATTGTTAGTGAAATATTAATTTAACTTTTGATTCTTAAACAAAAAAATTATCGGTTAATGGATCTTCATGATTTTTTAATTGACATTTTTCCCATTTCATTTGGTTTCTCTGTCGAATGACATTAAAAACTTTAGACATACAATTTCTATTAGGTAAATTAACTAACGTTTTTTTTAAAAAAAAATGGTTAATAGTTAACACATGCAAAAATGGGCAAGCACATGGGTTCATTGAAAAGATTGGTTTCTCAGCTTTACATCTCAAGGATGTAAATAAAATAATCAAAATGGTAAGAAAAGAAAAATAAGAATTAAGAAAATACAGGAAGAAAGAAAACAAAGCGTTTTTCCTTTAGTAATAACAAAGTTGTTGTAATCTCTGTCGACTGGCATGGGTGTCTGTTTAACGTAAGCAAAATCCCTCATGTTACTAAGCTTTTATTGGCTTTTGCAGAGAGGCACGTTTGCATGGGAAGTTAATCGATAATGTTGCAGAAATTATGCTACCTTCTGAGGTACGATACATCTCTTTCTGCAAATATAACTATGTATATACGAATATGTGTATAATACCAGTTTTATTTATGCATTGTCGATTTCTTTTCATTGCTAAGTCATCCTCAAAAGGGGTGTCACAAAAAGGACTTTCATTAAAGCTTACTTTAGGAATTTACAAAAGAACAAAAAAGACTTTCATTAAAGCTTACTTTAGGAATTTACAAAAGAATGTGTAAATTCCTAAAGTTTTCGTTATTTAGACATTTATAGGAAAAAAAAAAGAAAACCTAACCCCATTGACCATGATTTACTTTCTTTGTTTTAACCTTTGACACGCACATATTGTGACTTGTGAAAGCTTAAGCCTTGAGGTGCGATTATCCAAGTTAGGCTTGTATGTTTACATGGGAAGAAGAAAAACCATGGCAGCTACCATTGAACAATTGGAATATATTTTTATATATACCTGTGTCAGTGTCAAACACTAATAATACTTAGGATAATAAGTAGGCTTAGGGTAGTTTTAAGTACTTATGTCATAATTATGTATAATATAATACTTTATACACTAAGTAAATATTGAAATCCCCTTCACTTAGTTTGCATGAGGTTCTGCATTATTTATATTTAAAGATACAATTAAAATTAAAAGAAAAAGAGTTATAAGTAATACAGTTGGGATGAATTTTTACTACTGTGGAAGTATCTAATGCTTGAGCTTCACATATCTTACTTAACTTTCTCCCTTTGTTAATTGTTAAGCTTATGTCCATGATCATCTACATTCACATACTTATTGTACCTATTTACATGTAAACAATGCAAACAGTTAATTACATTTTCTAGAAAGTTTAGCTTATTGTTTTTGTTTGGGGTTTTAAATAAGCAGAAGGAAATAGATGGAAAGTGTTCAACTTATGAGAGGATATCATCAGAGGAGATGAGCTCGTCAAGTATATCCGGAACAAGCCCCTTCAAGCCTAATCTTGAATTTACTTTGGGTCGCTCTCACTAAGTTATTGTATTAGCTAGTTAGTAATTAGTTAGTTAAATTACTTTAGCTACTATTTGCTAATGACTTGTATCGATATTCAAATCAACTGAATGTTTCTGTTTTACGCCTATATCCTAATGTCTCTCCGAAAGTTGAAAACACTATTCTTTCCTTCTCTATTGAGAGGTGCCAGTGAAAGAATAACACACTAAATGCTAAAAAATGTTAAGTTTATTTTTCAACTTTTATATTTTTATTTATTTAACAGTTCGATGTAAACGGGATGGAAGTATATACATATTTTTGATCGATGGAAGTGTATACGTATTATATTATTTTTTTGGGTCAAACCATCGATTTCATTCCATAAATTAAAATAGAGTATCAGTTACATCCCTTGAAGGGGCATACTGCAAATTAAACAGAGCATCTTGTGCCAATTTGTCTGCAACTAAATTACTTGCTCTCGAAACATACTTAAAGGAGATAGATGAGAAAGAGCTCTCAACACAGAAATGTCATGGAGAATGCCCTTCAAAGCGATCGCAGAAGAGTTTATTATGATCTGATTTATGAGATTTATTGAGTCTGAATAACAGATCAAATCTCTGATTCTTTGTGCCGCATCATTTTCTACCGCAAACTTATAGTGCGCATGCTTCTGCCACTATAGCCGATGCTACCACCTTCCGTGTTGTTGAACCTTGGATAGTTGTGTCACCATTTGGTGCTGAGATGACCCAGCCCATACCACCTACACTAGACACACCATTCCAAGCTCCATCCGAAAAGCAAAGGTAAGCTTCATTAAGTACCTGATCTTGTGGTCCACTTGATGGTACCACATTTGCCGAAGCAGAGGTGTCTTTTTGACTAGGTTTATTGGTACTCTGCCATTCTTTAGCATGTTTTATCGCCTTACTCATCACCTCTGCTTCTGAATATAATTTGTCTTCGAAAATCAATTGATTTCTACTTGTCCATAGAACCCACATCAGCCAAGGGTAGAGGGGAAAGCTCAAACCCAATGGCGGGAGGTTGATCATATGGGAGCTAGCTTGAAGCAGTTTCTCAGTAGATCGAACAACATTTGGCATTGGCACCATCATGGTCGGTAAACTTGCCCAAACTCTTTTTGCAAAATTGCAAGAGAACATTACATGAAATGTTGTTTCCATTTTGCCACAGCGCTTACAACGCTCGTCAACTTGGAGGCCTCTCTTTTTTAGTGATTCACCTACTGCCAAAGCCCCGTTCATAGTTTTCCATAAGAAATGTTGCAGCTTCGGGAAAATTTAACATTCCAGACCCATTTGCTCCAGTTGAAGTATCCATGGTTATTTACCAGATTCAGCTTTGATAGTGCATAACCTGTCTTTGTGGTGTATTGTTCCGACTTCTCAGGGAGCCACACCCTTTCGTCACTAATCTTTAAGGAGCTTGGGACGAGCTTACAGATCTGTAGCTCATAAGCCAGTAGATGGTGTCGAATCATTTCTAGATTCCACTCACTCCCCACAGAGATCAAAAGATCCTTCACCCAAGGTTTTGGGCTTCAGTGTCGCCGGTCCCATCAAATAGAGTTGTGTTTCTGTAGACATCCAGTTTTCTGACCAAATATTCACCTCGCTACCATCACCTATTACCTAACCCAGTCCCTTGCGAATGATCTCCCGGCTAGCCAGAACTCCTCTCCATCCGTGAGAGACTGTGCTTGGGGCTGAACACTCTAGGATAGTGGTATTTAGGCAATACTTATTTAGCAGAGTTCTCGCCAGTAGCAAATCAGGGTCTTTTAGGATTCTCCATGTGTGCTTAGCCAGTAAGGCATCATTGAAAATCTCAATCTCTCTGAATCCGAGACCCCCCCCCCCCCCCCCCCCCCTAATAAGCTTTTCACACACTACTCAACACATCTTCCTGATTTCGTGTTTTACATCCCACCAGAACCGAGTTAGGACAGATTGGATCTATTTGAAAAGTGATTTGGGAAGTTTGAAACATGACATAGTGTAGTTAGTGATTGACGCAAGCACTGTCTTCAATAAAACCATCTTCCCAGCACTCGAGAGGAATCGCACAACCATCCATGCGATCATTGTTTTATTTTATCCACTATGCTTGCAAAGATATCTCTTTTTCTTCTTCCAAAGTGTTCCGGCAGTCCAAGATACCTAGTTTGGTTTTGACCCTGGTCTTTTCTTCAGCATTTGTCTTGGACGAGAAGGTAATGACCGACTTGCCTCTTTTTATGCACTGCCCGATGCTTTTTCATATTTGGTCAGAATAAATTAAAGGGTGGCACAACTACCTGCATTTGATTTCCAAAAAAACATTGTGTCATCCGCAAACAACAAATGATTTACTGGGGGGGCATTGACGACCTACTTTGACTCCTGGTAGTGTACCATCCCACAATGCCTTATTACATAGTCCTGATAGTACTTCCGTACATAGTATAAAGAGATACGGAGACAGTGGGTCTCCTTGGCGGAGACCTCTAGAAGGTAGTACCCGTCCTTGCGGTCCTCCATTTATAAGAAAGGAGTAGGATGCATAAGTAACACATTCCATAATCCAAGACGTAACTGTCTGGTGAAAGCCGAGACGGCTTAAGACCTCTCGGAAAAAGTCTCATTCAATTCTATCATAAGCTTTACTCATGTCGGTTTTCACCGTCATTTAAACATGCTTTTTTGCCTTTGATTTCCGTAGATAGTGGAGAATTTCATGGGTGATTAGGAAATTATCGGAGATTTTCCTTCCTGGAACAAAGGCTGATTGCGATGGTGATAGCAAATCATTTAGGAATGGTTGCAGACTTTTTTGCAGTATCTTTGCGATGATCTTATAATGTGTATTGCAAAGAGCTATAGGTCGAAAATACGAGACTCTTTTTGCTGCAGAGATCTTAGCAATGAGGCGCAAATGTGTTTCGTTGTGACGAGGATGAAGCTTGCCTTCATGAAAGAATTCTCTGACCTCTCGAAAAATATCTTCTCCTATTATATCCCAAACGGATTGGTAAAACCCGGCAGAGAAGCCATCCGGTCCCGGGGCTTTGTTAGGGTTTATAGAGAATACCGCATCCTTAATTTCAGTTATGTCTGGGATCTTCATGAGTAAGTCATTCATTTCTTATGTAACTTTACTCACGAGTGCCTCTTGCACAACCTCTCTAGCATCCACATTTCCCTCCATAAACAAAGAGCCATAGAAAGAGTTACAGGTATCCACAATCTCCGCTTCTTTTTAGAAGCATGTCGTTCTTCATTTTCGATGACTGGGTATTTGTTTCTAGCTCTTGCTTCTCTAGTTACAGCTTGGTAGAAAGCAGAGTTTTTATCTCCTCCATTTAGCCATTGGATTCTGCTTCTTTGTCTTCAAAAGGCCTCTTCTCCTGCATAAGCTACCTCTAGAAGCCTTGTAAGTTCCAGGATCTGCGTTTGATCAGGTTGAGACACTGATAAAGCGGTATCAAGTAAGCCTTGGTTCTTTTCGATTGTATATTTACTTTATACAGCTTCTTCTTTTGAGCATTCAACCAATTTCCTTCTAACATGGCAGATTTTTGTAAGCACAAAACCTTGGCCAGCTTCCTACCAGACTTGCTCTACCAAGCTACAGATTTCTGTTTTTTTGCTGAGGGTTCTATCATACCTAAAGAGCCCCTTTTTCTTTTTCAGGTTCAAGTCGAAATGGATGAGAATAAGACGATGATCGGACCCTTCGAAATCCAGATACTCACTTCTGGCCACCGGGAACATTTCAAACCAGGAGACGTTTCCAATTGCTCTGTCTAATCAAGACTGTATGAAATGGGTGATCTAGTTCTCCGCCAAGAGAATGAGTTGCCAGATAATTGGAGGTCCCAAATACCGAATTGAGCGACAAAGTTTATAAAGGAAAGAAAGAATCCTTCCCTTCTTAAAAGACCTCCTTCCTTCTCAGAATTATCAGTTAAGTCACTGAAATCCCCGGTGAGAAGCCATGCCGAGTCTCTACTAACCCCAATATCAGTCAAGTTTTCCCAGAACTTAGCTCTGTTTTTGCGTTGTGGTGCACCATAAATGTAGAACACAAATAAATTTTTATCATTATGAGTGATGCAGGTGTCCATTACATTAGGTGAAGAGAAAATAACTTCTAGCAGGACATTATCTTTCCAAGAAAGTGCAAGGCCACTGCTAAGTCCATCAGGAGTTACCGTAAAATGGTTTGTGAAATTGGATCCCTTATACATTCGGTAGACCTCTTCATCTTGTCGCCTTGTTTCCATGAGGAAAATTATGTCCGGGGGATTTTTCCTCCTAAATTCCCTTAGACGACGAACTGTCAGGTTGCTCCCCATACCTTTGACAGTTTTAGCTCAGATTTACTAAGGAAGAGTACTTGGACCGGTCCAAAAATCCGATCCACTCCTCTTTGAAGCAGGAAAAATAGTAGAGTGAAGCTGGGAATTTATCTTATTGGATTTTGAGGCGCCCCCAGCCTCTTTTGGGACAGCTGTGTTCCTTCTTTTTGGGGAATCTATTTGAATTACTAGCGTGCTTCCAGCTCTGTTCATGTGATACCATGTGTTGCCCTTGTCGAGGGTTTTCCTTGGAAGTATAGGAATGGGTTTCATGGCTTTCTCTGGTAGCCCGTCTATCCTCTTTCCTCCTTCTGTCTGCAGCTAATCGCTCGAGAGTTTTCGACTGAGAGATTCCCACGTCCTTAAGGCGCAAGTTTCTAACGCTTGTTCTAGCTTTGTTTTCAAGGCAGTCATCAGCTTCATGAGACAGAGCTTTACAAGTAAAGCAATGTTTACCCAGGTTCTCATAATGGAGTTCCACTTGCATTATTTCTCCTGATGCGAGACAGATGTCAAGTTTCATCTCCAAGGGTTTTAACTCATTTATGAGGATTCTGATCCTTCCATTATCAACATCCATACCATCCAACGGGCCCAGCTCCTTGGCAATGGTTTTTAGAGTGATATATGTCCAGTATTGTAGTGGAATCCCATGAATAGTGATCCAAAAAGGTCAGAGCTTGGAAGTTGTCTGAGATCACTGGTTCCCGTCTTTGTAAAATGAGCACCCAACGTTTGATGTGGAAAGGAGCTTCAGAGAAGATTGCTTGTATGTCTTTTTCCGATTCAAACTTGAATTGAAATAGATGTGGTCCAAGTTCCTTTCCTGTAATCGATCCTTCCACTCGCCAGTGTTGAAGGGAAAAGTCCACCAAGACCCTGGTTTTTCTAATTCATGGGTTTGTTACCCTTC